ATTATTATTATTATAATATTTTTAATCTTTAAATTTTTCCCCTTCTTCTTGCAGGTGCTTGCTTATATGTGTTTGTGGTTGATAGGCAGATTTTCCTTTGCCCAGGTTAGAGCTGCTATATCTGAGTTTATGCTGAGATGATTCTGCTCTTCCCGCTAAAATTATTTAACTTAGAGTAAAGCTTGATAGTGCAGCAATGAAAATTCCTTCCCATCTGTAAGTGCAGATTTGGATCAAGCCAATTTCAATCCACTTGATTCCTACACATGTGATTGTTATGTAGCACTTCTCAGCTTGTATGTTTTCACAGTAGGAGAAATGTGAATAGTTTATGGAATACAGATTTGTTATTGTTTAGGTATAAATTCACCATACTGTTTCATCTGGCAGCTTGCTGTTGGTGTAGCTGCCTGACTCATTGCTTATGTGTGCTTGTAAGTACAGACAAAAATTTTCTGGAGAGAAATATTTTTAATCTTTTTTTTCCTCATAAACATTTTGTATCCACTCCTTAAAACATTCGTTGCATGTTCAAGATCCAGCTGAGCATTTACTTCTGCAAATGAGTAGTTTCAGATGGGTCTTACTTCATTTGCTTTGGTTTCCTGAGCTGAGTCCTTTCCTCATGAGCAAAGGGAACTTGAATGCTGTTATAAAACATTGCACTGTGTACCAAGTGGAGAGAAAGGTTTTCTGTAAGATACAGTTTTACCAACTGTTCTGGTTGTCTTGGGCATGTAAATGGCCCCAGCTATTGTAGTATCCGAGTGGCTGACAGTCTTCTAGTGTAGTTACACTTGCAGAATCTCTCTGAGATAAAGCAGTCCTACTATCCTTATTTTCTAGCCAGAACTAGGAAAATATTGTGATGTCATCTAGCATGATAAAAATTATGTGAGAAACTGAGCCTTTTTGGTATAAAGATAGTAAAAGGTCTCTGAGAAACGTTAAAAGTTCTAGCTACGCACTGGACCTGAACCCTGCTTTCTGCTAGGACAAGTGTAGGCTGTTGTCTAATTCAGAAGAGACTTTTCTGATGTGCAATGCATAAGTGTTGCGATGATACCTTTTAGCCTCGCAGAGGCGTTGGCAACAGCCATGCATCAGGTGGAGCTCCCAAGTGAGCGTTCGAAGGTGAAATTGCATAGTGCATGGTGAAAAATAAGTACATATTAGCGGAAGCCAAGATTAGGTAACCTGTTTTATCATGAAGCGCTCTGTCAAGAAGGTTTGTTTATGCTGTAGTCACACAATCACTTAATCTACTGTGAGTAGTTTTCGCCATATTAGTTGTCAGCAAACACGAACACTGGAGGTGGCACGTGGAGAGGCTGGGAACAAGCAGCCAGGATGGGGAGGCAGCGGTACTCCCTTCTCAACGGCAATGCACATTATTCCAGATGAAATATTCTCTGTATTGAAGACCAAAGTCCACATACACCTTTCACTGTTCTTCTGTGTCTTCATACTGTTTCAGGGTCTGATGGCCCTTGATTCTCCATATACCGGCATTGTGAATTACAAACAAGTGGCCCAGTCCTATGCTGAAGACTTCCAGGAGGCAGGTGGGACGATCTTGACTGATTTTGAAGTTACAAACATGGAGATGGCTAAAGAAAGTTCTGCAGAAAGTGAAGATGGTAAGGCGGTTTTTTGCCCTCCATTTACTACAGTCCTGCCAAAGATTTTGTTCAAAACACATTTGCTTCAACTGAAATCATGTTTCTGAACCTTTCCGTCTCATAGGGAAGAGGTAAAAGGCAAAATTACAGGATCACAGACTGGTTTGGGTTGGAAGGGACCTCAAAGCCCGTCTAGTTCCAACCCCCTGCCATGGGCAGGGACACCCCCCGCTAGACCAGATTGCTCAAAACCCCATCCAGCCTGTATGTTAGAGTATTAATGATCTTAAAGTATCAAGCAAACACGCTTGTTTTTTTTCTCAGGCAGGTCACCCTTCAGCTGAAACATTTAATGCTGATGGAAGAAAATTACAGTAAAAGAGAGAAAGCGGGTTGTTCTCTCCTATTAAAATCAGATTTAGCTGAATATTGCATGTCTATTCTTGTGGTAGTGCTTTTTGTTTATCCTGGAAGGCAGGTAGGATCAGTGCTGCTACACATATGGAAGAATAAAACCCACCCACCTATTAATTCACTAATACGGTTATGTCCAGCAATATCAGTTATGTTACCAGTAGTTGCTCCATAGCTTGGAGATCTTCCAGTGGAAGAACCCTTAATCCTGACAAGCTGCTTGTTCAGTTTTCTGTTACATATTCTATTAATTCCTTCTCGTCTAATTCTATTACAGGACTGAAATACCCAGTCATTGTTAGGAACTCAAAGGTAAGAACTAAGCTGAAGATTTAATTGCTTAATAGGAAGCTATTTCTACTTTTCTGAAGAATTTTTGTTGAGTCCTGGTGGATTAATCAGCTCTCTAAGAAAAGTTAAAAGCTGCTGTTCAGTAACATGATCGCTGTCACCTAGGACTGCTTTTATAAAACAACTGCAATTGATTCTTGACAAAGCATATGAGCATGTTCAGATTTTACTGTGTTCTGGGAATAATAATGAAGGAATAACTTTATCTTTCTGCTGCCTGACTTGTGTTTGACTGTATACGTCCCTTCTTTATTTGCACATTCTTACGTTTTTTGTTTTGAAGGACTCCTTTTGTGACTTACTTATTTGGTGAGAAGGTGAGAAACACCTATTTACATGTTTGCTTTTGGTCTTTGGCATCTATGAAAATGATAAGGGGGCATTCAGAATTATTTTTATCATCAGAAAGCCACAAGCTAATTTAGTAAAACAGGTGTATATACTGGTGTCATTCCTGCAAGTCAGTCAATGCTGCACAGGAAATGCACTTGTAACCTTTTCACCTTCAGGAAAGAATATCTGGACTCTG